GGGCAGACACATGTGATGGAGGTGGGTTTCCGGCCAGTTTGGGAGAGATATCTCACTCAATAGCGAATGTTGGGCAGCTCTCCTTGAGACTAGCCCTGTAGAAATCATAAAGTTGGATTTCCCCTCTCTTCCTTTGAAATAAATTCTAGAAGAATAAAATATTTAAATATGTAAAAAAGATATTAAAAGAATCATAAGCAAATATTGATGATTATCTTAATAATTTTGTAATAGAAAGATCCTTTTAAGCTTGACAAAAGATAATATAAAGCAAAAAATTGATTAATTTGATAAAATTGGCTATGACGTAAAACTTTTGTACAGCAAAAGTACTATAAGTAAAGCTTAAAACATAGGACAAAATTAACCTGGGAAAAATATTTTTTTTTATTATGGACAAATGGCTAATGTCTTTAATAGTAAAAAAAAAAAGCTGGCAAACAAATGAGAACCTGAACAGTACAAAGTAAATAAGTAGGAAATCTACAAACTAGTAATAATTCAATGAATGCAAATAATAGGTAAGGTTGATACTGTGGGTGTTCAACCTTGTAAATAATTAATGTAAATATAATGTAAATTTACATGTCATTTTATTGTTTATTTGATTGACAAAAATTTGATGAAAAAAATTGAGGATCTCCAGAGGTGATTAAGAGGGTAGAGAAAAGGGCTATGTAACACATTACTGGAGTCAATCCTTTAGAGGGAAATATGGTGGTTCAGATCATATTTGTAAATGTAAATACCTTTTGACTCAGCAACCTGACACCTTGGATATCTAATGTATAGAAAACTAACATGAAGATACTCCCTGTGGATCTCACGAGTGAAAGCTAGCACCATAAAACAAAACAAAACAAACAAAATGTTCCTTGCTGCAGTGAAAGGCTGAAAACCATCTCAATTTTCATCAATTTTTTCTTTTTTTTTTTTTAAAGCACTTTATTGAGGTATGAGTGACATGTAAAATCTGTACATTTAATGTACAACTCCAGGAGTTTGGGGATAAGTCTATATCGTGAAACCATCACCAACATCAAGGCCATCGACATATCTATTGCCTCTTAAAGCTTCCTCCCATCCTCTTTATTTTCATTATTATCCTTTCTTTCTTTCTTTCTTTCTTTCTTTCTTTCTTTCT